CTCCAGGATCATGACCTGAGCCGAAGGCAGTCGCTTAACCGACTGAGCCACCCAGGCGCCCCGTTACTGGTTATTTTTGAATCACATGCTTGTACATTTCCCTGCAGGTTGCTCAGCCCCATTTGAGCAGAGGAGCCACAACTCTGCTTTCCATTTTTATCCCCAGTACTGATCATTGTGCATGGCATTAGTAGGCTCTAAATAATTATTGATTAGATGAATGAATAATTTAGTGAGCGGTTCTCTGCTGTAGAAATCTAGTCATACTGATTCTTGTCAATGACTTAGTTTTTAAAGCTCCAGGGAGAATATGAACTGCTAGGCACTTGCCAAACTTGCTTCCATGCAGTTGAACCAGTTGTTTTTCCAGAAAGTCAATATTCAGAATTCTGGGAAGTGAGGGTTTACAACTAGACTTTGTCTGTTCAATAATATGTTTATCTATACATCATGTTTAAATGAAATTTCAGGATAAAAAGGTACATACATATCTTAAAGGTACATACATAACATATCTTAAAGATTGTTCATCAGGATCATTAACATTTTTCTCTTTTTGGATTACTCTATCTTCCCATGTGCAGCACGTTTTCTGCTTTCCAGTAGTGCGTGGGGCCGAGAGCACTGAAATGGAGGTAGTGAATGAGTCAGCGGAACGGGAAATGGGACACCTCGTGGTGTCTGTGAGCCAGAAAGTTCTTCAGGCAGGACTCTGCTTACACATTTGGTGTACACAGTTGGCCTGTTTCAAAATAAGCTTTATCGATTTCAGTGTTCTCTGACAATTTATGGAAAAGGCTAAGTAGTATTTTCTTGTTTGTAATTGGAAATCTCCATTTTGCAGACCCTTGATTTGTTTAATTAAGAAAGGGTCGTGGGGCTTCTGGCCTACACATTTCATAGGATTGGCATAATATGTGGCATTTTCCCTGTAAGTATATAAATTGTATATTTTATGTGATCAGTGACTTTTTTTTTCTATTCCAGTATATTTTTGGAGATTTTAGCCCTGATGAATTCAATCAGTTCTTTGTGACTCCTCGCTCTTCAGTTGAGGTAAGACAGAACATTTTATTGAGTATATGTGTAGATATAATTAATGGCTATATTTTAGTTTTGATTTTTTTAATTTATGCTTTTTTGATAAATCCAATGTACAGAAAAGTACAGAGACTAACAGGAGAAATGCCCAAAGCCACCAACCAGATTTGACTGATGTTAACATTTTGCTGTATTTGTAAATAGCAAAACATCACAGATACAGTTGAAGCCTCCATTGTACCCCTCTTCCATCTCATTCCTCTGCCTCCGCAGAAGTAACAACTCTGCTGAATTGGTATTGTTTACTGACTATGGTTTTCACCTTTTACTGCATACATGGTTATCAGCAGATAGTAACATCATGTTTTATGTGGTTTAAATGATAAATGGTTTCATACTGAAGTTGACTCTTGAACAACGCAGGGGTTAGGAGCGCCAGCCCCAGTTCATTTGAAAATCTGTGTATAATTTTTGATTCCCCCAAAACTTAACTACTAATAGCCTAATGATGACCAGAAGCCTTACTGATAATATGAACAGTTGATTAGCACATTTTGTGTGTTATAAGTATTACGTAGTTATTCTTAGAATAAAGTAAGCTAGAGAAAAGAAAATGTTAGGAAAATAATAAGGAAGAGAAAATACATTTATAGTACTGTACTGTATTTATAGAAATAAATCTGCCTGTGAAGTGGACCTGCACAGTTGAAACCCATGTTGTTCAAGGGTCAACTGTATATTCATCATTTTGAGGTTTATTTCATACTAACATATTCTTTACATTTGTCTATGCTCTTATGTTTTGTTTTTTGTTCTTCAATTTTAATTGCTAAGTACTGCTGATAGAACAGCTATCAACAGCTGTCACAGCTCATTTGGCTTTTTTCCTCTCGAGGACCATTTAGGTCTTTAGTTCGTACACTGTTAAAAAATGTTGCAGTAAACTTATTTTACATGCCTCTATGGGTTTCTCCAGGATATGGCCCTAGGAATGGAACTGGTCAGCCTGCAAGGAGTAAGCATCTGTAGTTTTACTGGAGACTGCTGATCTGCTTTCGAAGCGGGTTAGCAGTCTGCATCTCCATGAGCGGTGCAGGAGTGTTCTCATCATCTCATTTGAAGAAAAAATTGTTGCTTATTCTCAGTATAGGCTTACTTAAAATTTTTGTTAGTCTGATGGGTATGAATGGATTCTCATTGTTTTAATTTACAATTCCCAGGTGACAGACTTGAGAACTGTTTCATTGCATGTGCCTGTTGACGATACAGATTTCCACTTCAGTGAATTAACCCTATCTCCCCATCCACATTTTTTTATTAAGTGGCTTATCTTTTTCTTACTGCTTATATGATTAATAATCTTTGGTTTTGCATGTTACAGGTATCTTTTTCTAGCATGAGGGCTTTTAAACTTCATATATGATGCACTTTTATTTCTTTCGCTGCATAAGGGAAGTACGTTTTTAACTTCAATGCCAAATGTATTGGCTTTTTTCCTCATGGTTTGTAAATGTCTTTAAGGAATATTTCCTTTCTCTGAGGTAATAAAGACACTGGTTTTCTTCTAAAAGCTTTAAGGTTTTGTTTTCACTGTAGTGGGTTTGCAGTTGGAACGGACTCTGCTGTGTCTGTGGGGTGGGGCTCTGACTTGGGTTCTCTCAGGGCAGGAGTGAGTGGTCCCAGTGTGCTGCTGAGTGCTGGGCCATTAGTCGCAGTGCCCTGTGGCTGTGGCCCCCTGCTTTATCTATCGTTAGCACTTGTTTTAATGGCTGCAACTCTATAATCCATCTTCTGGGAGGGCACATACCCTCTTATACTTATTCAGAAGTATTTTGATTCTCCTTCATCCTCAACTCTTCCTTGGGAATTTATGAGCAGCATGTCATGTTTCATGAAAAATCCTATTGAAATTTCAGTTGGAATTGTGTTAAAAGTATGGGTTAATTTATAGGAGAATTAGAATCTCTATGCTAGTTTTCCTAAACATGATTTTGGTGTATTTTTCCATTCAGGTCTTCTTTTATGTCCACTCTCTATGTGAGTAATGGTATCCGTTTTAGTTTAATAAAAGCTTACCTGGAAGATTTGTTTATATTCGTATTGTAAATGTGAAAACAGTTGAAATTGCATTGAAGAGGAGAAAGGGCGGGGGGGCGGGGGGAGTAGGTGCGAATCAAGTAAAACTGTACTTAACTTTAATGAGACCTAACCAGCCACTTAGATCCCTAATGTCCACGGTAGCTTTGCACGCATGTGAAGTGTTTTTGCACGGAGTTCTTTTATTTCTCAGGAGAGGCTGACTCCTTAGATTTGGAGCCACAGGGCCAGCGTTGCATGTGGCCTTGGCCGGTCCTTCCTGCTTTACCTTGGCTTCTGGAACTCTAAACTCTTTCTGGAGCTGTGGAGGAAGGATTAAATGACAGTGTGTTGAAAGCGTTACTTCAGCTGCACAGACGAGAGAGAGATTTATTGGTTTCTCCTCTTTCATTTTAGGAAAAGGGAGGAAATCAAAGAAGACAAAGCTTGTATCAGGTTTTATTTTAAAAAACGAGTAAATTGAGTTCCATGCCATCTCTGTCTGTTCTGCGTTCATTGATGGTAACAGTTAGGATTTTAAGGAATATAAAGATATGAGCCAGGAAACCGTGAAGCTAAATTGTGTGATGTATTTCCTAAGGCAATAAAATGTTATCTGTGCATTTTAGATTCTGTAGAATAAGGCTTGAAGTTTAGTGTTTCCTGACCAAAAACAAAAAAACAAAAAAAAACAAACCAAAAAACAACAATAGTTAATTAGGCAAAGCATAACCAGATCCCGTATTTCCCAAGCATTAGTGTTAACTGAAGTTCTACTCTATATACTCTTCTAATGGTTTGAATTTTAAATCATTTCTGTCTTCGAATCATGGTAAGATACAGAGGCACCTGCCAGGAAGAGGATAGACTGTGCTCTTTGCAGTTATGGTTTTAAAAAATGATAAAGCCCAACTTATGTGTTTTACAAAAACTTTTCTCAAGTGTGTGCATTTGTGTGGGTTTGTAAGTGCTTGTTTGAAAGTAAGTGTCAGAATAAAACCTTGAGTTTTCCTGTGATGTGAAAGTGGAAAAGGTACCATATTTAAGTCTGAAGAAGCTGGGCTCCTTTCTCACTCTGCTACGTAAGCAGGCTGGGCAGTCTTGGGCAGTTCCTCCATCGCATTGTGCTTTCTTAAATGAGAACATGGAGAATGTTTACTTAACCTCACAGAAATGTTGGGAAATCGTTAGGGTATGGTGGAATACCTAGTGGGTAACAAATGTAGCAGATACGGGTGTTGGTGGTAAAGTTATGTCAAACTTTTTATTGCAGAAATAATGGCTCTGTCTTATCAGAGTGAATTATAGCCAGAAATTTAAGTCTTGCTTATTTTTGGGGTCTTCTGTATTTTTGCTTTTGAGAATGCATTGTTGTCTATCAAAAACACATATGGTCGGTCCAGTAACCTGCAAAAGGGAAATGCAGGCAAATTAACGTGACTGGGCCAAGCTGCTTTCTCAGTATTGTAATTATTATAATTTAGGAGTCTGGAGCATCTAATAATGTAATCACATGGGACACAGACTGTTTCATGGGGTGATGTGTGGCTGGATCAGTGGGTGTGGGCGTGATGTTCTCTGCCCCAAACTGCAACATGTGGCTGGGCCTTTTATCTTGCACTGAAAATGACTGCAGCCCCGACCAGCGCTCCCCTGCCCTGTGCCCCTGGCAGGAACCAGAACCCCTCCCTGGTGTCCATATACTTCTTTGGCTGCTAGGAACTTGATACAACATTTTTTCTCTACTTGGGGCCCAGAACTGATAAAACAAAGTTTGAGAAACAGCAGGTGTTAAAATGTAAAAACATTCTTTCAGCTAAAGCACTGATCCTCTCAGCTGAGTTTTGGACTCTGTTTTAGTTTGCCTGTTTGAAAGCTTGCCACAGGCCGGATAGGTCAGCAGTTTGACAGAATCAGAAGAAACAGCCTCAGCTGATTTCTGTGTGTGATCCTAAATATTAGTATAAATTTGAAGGTAACATATCTTTTCTAAAGCTGTGCTCTAGTTTATAAGCCATTGTGATTTAAAGGTGAATTTCTCCAAATGGAAAAAATAGTTTATTGAATAAGCATGTTTTGAACCCCAGTCATAATCATGTCATTAGTGTTCAGAAATAAAGAATGCTCATTGTTCTTGAGACTTCCAGAACTCAACATTTGAGACAACACATGCACGCTTTAATGTGTTACTGAACGCACAGGCCCAGGATAGCATGGTTCAGCTGCAGGTGTGCTGTTATTCTTGGTGGTTTGGTGTCTTCGTGGGATTTCTTTTCTTTCTTTTTTTTTAAGGATTTTATTTATTTATTTGACAGAGAGAGAGGAGAGAGGGAACATAAGCAGGGGGAGTGGGAGAGGGAGAAGCAGGCTTCCCGCTGAGCAGGGAGCCCGATGCGGGGCTCGATCCCAGGACCCTGGGATCATGACCTGAGCCGAAGGCAGATGCTTAATGACTGAGCCACCCAGGCGTCCCTCTTCGTGGGATTTCAGAGGAGAGATTTAAGGTTCATGAGGGTCTTTTAGACAGTAGAACAAATAGTGGCGGTGCCAAAAAGACTTTAAAACGTTTCATTTTATTTTATGAAATATAATTGACATAAAAAATCCTGTTAAGTTTAAGGTGTACGCCGTACTGATTTGATACGTTTCTTTTGCAAGATTGCTGTTGTAGCATTAGCTGCCATTTCTTTTAGTGGTGGGAACAATTAAAGTCTGGCTTCTTAGCATGCTTAAAGTTTATAATAAGGTGTGCTGTCTGTAATCCCCGTACTGTGTATTAGAGCCCCGGGACGTGTTTATCTGCTGGTTGCAAGTGACCCCTGACCCCGCGGCCCCCCCGCCCCCTTCCTGAGCCTTTGCTGGTGCCATGCACTCTTCGTTTTTTTGATTTGAGTTTTTGTGTTTTGTTTTTTGTTAGATTCCAAAGATAGGGATATCGTACAGTATTTGTTTAAAATATTACCTTCATAATCAAAGGGCCTGAGTACTGACTTCACAAGATGGTAGCACTGTTTTTAGACCAAGTTGATTTGACTTTGTATCTAATATAACTAGATTTCAGTTTTTTACATTGCTCACCTTGAAATCATGTGTGAGATTTTCTTTTTTGCTTTGATTTTATAATTTAATGTTCTTTTAAGTAGCCATATAGTTAAGGAGGGAACTTTGAGCAATTCTTACAATTTCATCCTGCTGTCTGTAATAAATACACATTTACCACAGACTAGGGGGTATCTCATAAGTGACAGAGGTTTGTTGAATTAAAGGTGCCATGTGCCTATAGAGTAAAAAAGATACACACACACCCTTTTGTACCTGAACTCATCATAGCACTAATTCCCACGGTTACCTTCTTACCAGCTTAGTAACTCTGAATAAGTGTTGTACACACGAACAGAAAATGCAGTGTTGCCGTGGGGTCTGCTGGGGTGGGCAGTCTGTTTTCAGGTCTGTCTCTACCACTTAACCACATTTTGTGTAACTACAGCATGATTAGAAAAGCACTTTTAGTGCCTCACAGTTTATAGATTTCCATCACCAGGGGGCACCCTGATGTCACTGATAGAAAAAGAAAAGGTATTCTGTATCTGGGAGTTTGCTAAACTTCTTTTGTGACTGCAGGGGGACATGAACCTGATTGGTTCTCAGATGCACCTTTTTTGCTCCATGTGTCTGTGCCAGCGGTAAATGCTGGAGCACCGTGTGCATGCGTTTGACTGATCTTTGTGCTGCAGGTGCAAGGCCAGGTGTAGCCCTTGGCCAGCACTCAGAATGGCTTCTTTTGTGTCAGCGTGATGGTCACTGGGCGCCCCCCAGTGGACAAACGTGCAGCTCTCAGGTCCTGCAAGCCTTCAGTTCGTTTTGAACTGCCCTTTGTTTCCTTAGGTTCTTACTTGTCATGCATTCTGTGGGGGAGAGAACTTCCTTACTGTGATCATTGAATCAACTTGCTAAGAGTTAATTGGAGCAATCAGCTGAGGAGGCCCCTTGCGCAGCAGTTCTCAGGCAGTGGCCGGCCTGAGAATTGCCGGGGCCCTTGACCGTTGCACACTGCGGGGCCCATTTGGGAACCCCGGGTGTTGCAGGGGCACACTTGGAGAAGTGCTGTTAAGATGTCATTGCTTTGTTCTTTTGTTCTCTCTTTTAAGTCCGCTTACCTTATCCCTTCCATCCTGAACTTTCTCATCCCCAGTGTGTCCGTTTGAAACATTTCCAGTTCTTAAATATTACGGGATGGCTAGGAAGAAGAAAAATTTGGGATATTCATAATACCTTCCTGGTTTTTACAAAGAGGTCAGATACTTGCCATTTTGCTTTCTCTCTTCCAAACAAGGAATGTGATTTCAGCCATTAATGCATGTACATAAGGCACTGTGGTAAAAAGGGAGCCGTGGTTCCCAGACTCCTCTGTGGGCTCTCCACTCTTCCCGGGGGCCTGGTCCTTGCCTGCCCTGCTGTGTGGGCATTCAGTGCTGTGAGGGTGACATGCACACGATCACTAAGACTCACCTCTGTTAGTGGTGCAGAGCAGTGGCTGTGGTCTCTGTGGGCAGTCTCTCAAGTCCTACGAAACTAAGGGTTTATCGTGGCATTTTATTGTAGTTGACTTACATGTCCATTGGAATCTTTTTTATTTTTATTTTTTGCCTCATTTTTGGATCTTAATGACAGTATTTAAAACAATTCCTATGGTATTTTTATCTTAAATGAAGGTGATTTAATTTTACTGTCTCAATGTATGTTATTTTGTTTAAAAAATGTCATGAGAAAAGTTGGATAAAGAGTTTTAATGAAAAAGAATGGGTTGGGTTTTAACATTTTGTTGAATTAAAATTTGTTTCCCACTTCCCTGTGCAGCTCCCTCCATACAGTGGAGCAGTTCTCTGCGGCACACAAGCTACAGGCGAACTACCTGATGGTAAGCTGCTTCTCTCCTCCATCTCCCTGACGTGCTGTTGGGCCATGTGTGCGGGCGGGGGCGGGGGGGCGGGGGGTGCTCTTTGGAAATCATGTTTTCCTGCTGGTTCATACCTGTCGAATAAACACTCTTCTTACTGCTTGAGGTTTTTGCTATAATACTATAGCATGTTTAATCTCTGAACCATTTTGATTAATGAAGTATATTCTGTGCTTTGGAGTGTCAGATGTTCAAGGTTTAGTTAAGGAAATAGTTGTTTGATCCTGTTTTTTCTTGACCATTCTCAGTGGCACCCGTGTGTCTTTTGTAGCCAGTGCTTTTTGTAAAAGTTCTCCAGTGGCCTTTCTTCGGTTGTCGAGGCTCCTGGGCCCAGAGCTGGTGATTCTCTGAGAATGTGTTCTTTGCACGGCTCAGTGATAGCTCAGATCTGTTCTGCAGTTTACATTTATGTCGTAGTCTGTCACTTAATGCTCTCGGGAAGTCAGAGGACCTTTTCACTTCCCAGTCTGTTACTTTTGGTCTTTGTCACAGACATAGAGCTCATTACTGGGGACGGTGCTTACTGAGATGCAGTGATTTTGCATGGTTGAGTAATGGCGGGTTGTTTGGTTACTGCAGGTTGCCGGGGCGCAGGTCCGATCTCTGTGGCCCAATGTACGGTTTGGATCATTAAAGTCCCTTGCTGGCCTTGGAGAAGCAGATGCTAACCCTTTGCTTTGAGAGCCAGGGGCCTGGTTCCCTGTTTCATTAGCATGGTCAGACCTGTGATCGGGGTTTTCTTTATAATTTAAACATAAACCTTGAAGAACGTGTCCAGACTTCTTACGTACAGTATAATTAGAGAGCTGATAGTATCTAACATTCTTAGCAGTTTGTGGGAAACCATGATCTGGGAGCCTGAGGGAAAGAGCAGTTCTAGGGGCACCTGGGTGGCTTGGTCAGTTAAGCATCTGCTTTCGGCTCAGGTCATGATCCCAGGGTCCTGGGATCGAGTCCCACATCGGGCTCCCTGATCAGTGGGGAAGCCTACTTCTCCCTCTCCCTTTGCCTGCCGCTCCCCCTGCTTGTGTGCTCGCACTCTCTCTCTCTGTCAAATAGATAATCTTTAAAAAAAAAAAAAAAAGAAAAGAAAAAGAGCAGTTCTAATGGTGGTTCAGGACAAGAGTGAAATGGAGTGAGCTGGAGGGGTCCAGACGCCCTGCCTGGCTGCCCAGCCTTCAGAGCAGCTGGGTTCTGAGTCTGTCGGATTTCTCTCTCTCAAGTACTTGGCACATAGTAAGCATGCTACGGATGTCTGCTCAGTGCTTTAAAATGTTTTGTTCTTTCCCCTTTCGTGTTATTCCTTTCTTTCTTGTTCAGTTCATGGTCTCACCATCCTCCCCGGGGCCCGGGCTGCAGATTGGATGCTCTTCCAGCTCCTCTCCTTCCCTTCCTCACACCGCACCACTCCTTCTAGGCTGTCCTGTCTGCTTAGTTCCTGCTTTGTGGCTCCTTTTCTCCATTGTCTCTCCTCTCAAGTCCATCTTTTAATCTGCCAAAACACAGCTGGGATCTTGCCACCTGCTCACGCTGGTAGTGACAGGCCAGCTTAAAGGCCCATTTCTCTGGGGCCTTTTCTGTTCTCTTGTGCTTCTATGACGTTTCTTTCTTTTACAGTGCCTGTCCCACTGTCCAGTACTGAATCTGCCTCCCTCTTTGGACAGAGTTCGGCTGTGGGTGGCAGGGATCATAGTCCTCCATTTCTGTGTGCTCAGCAGCTGTGCACTGTAGTATATGGAATGTTGTAGACCTTCAGTGTGTTTCTGGATGAATGATTTAGGATGGTTTGTTCTACCTCCCACCAGAGGCAGCTACAGCAAGCTCTTTGCAGGGGCTCCTCATCATGGTGTGCCTTCTATACCTCTGCTTTTTTTTTAGTCTGATCCTAGAGCTGAAATAGCCTCTATTCCCCCCCCCCCGCCGGCAATCCTGCCAGTTCCACTGACTTCTCTGTAGCTTCTGACTGAAATTGGTCATTCTTTTCTGTATCTGGAAGCATTCTTTCTGTAAAGCTGTTGAGGCCTTATCTTGCCCTTCCTCTGCACTGTCAGCTTCAGTCTGAGGTGTTTTTCTACTAGTCAGTGTCACTCCCTGAGGCAGGGACTTTGCCATACTAATCTTTGTGCCCTCGGTGATAATAAGCACTTTGCACACAGCTAGGTGCGCTAGGTGCTCTCTTAATTGGAGAAATCAGCTGAGGAGGCCACTTAAGCAGCAGTTCTCAGACATGGAGGGCATGACAGTCTCTGGGGGCCCCCGAGCATTGCAGACTGTGGGGCCTGTCCAGCACCCTGGGCGCTGCAGGAGCACGCTTGGCAGAGTGCTGTGTTGGGATGACATTGTTTTATTTGAGTTAGTTTTCCTTCTCCCAACAACCCACTGTCTGCGTGGCCTGAGCACGGAGGCCCCATTCACTTGATGCATCGACTGTGTTGTTTCAAGCCTGGGTTTGCAGGCTTCACCACTCCTTCAGCCCACAGATTGGGCTCCGTGCTGACTCCTCCTCTGTGCAGTGCAGTGTGCACGTGTGTCCGTGAGACGTGTTGTGGATAAGAAGAGGAACTGTTCTGGGTAGGACTCTCTGCCCTTCACTGGTACGGTCAGACCCGCTACGGGGTGAATGTTTTGGTAATAAACTTAGTATATTGAAATGGTTCCGTAATGTCCTATCACATTCTAGAATATTCTGTGATATGATAAGAGTAAGGATTGAAATGTGGAAGGCACTGTGTCTATTGGAAATAATTAAACTCTTGCACAGGCTGCATGCCACAACGCACGTCCGTTTTGATTTCACATTGCACACTACAGTCTCCAAAGGGGAGCCTCCCCCCTGTGGAGCGTTCATTTCCTCACATACATCCGTGTCAGTCCGTGTAGTAGCATTGCAGCCTCAAGGTGTCACGGAGTAGGCGATGCCTCAAGTCAAAGTGGACAGTTTACTCTTAGGTGTGATAATAGAGAAATTAATTTCTCTTTGGTGATTGTTTTCAAAATAAGGAAAAGAAGACCAGTGCTCAGAGGCCAAAGGATTCAAATGCTTATATTGGTGACTTTATATGAAAATGTGCTGTTAGGTGTAGCCATCATTAGTATTTCTTTTTCAGGAGCTTTTTGTTGTTGGGAAGGTGTACCCCCTGCCTCCCAGGTGTGATCACAAAGCAGATGAAGAGTTAGGAGACTGGTGGCGTCCCTGTCCCCAACTAACTTGCATATAACGGGCTTCTCTTAGGGGCTGCTTGTTGAAAAACTTCCAAGGTGAAAAATACTAAGTTACTTGTAGTAGAGCACAGTCCTTGTGGTAGTATGATTTTTTTTTTTTTTTTTTTAAATACTTGCCTTGAGAAGAAGTTGGCCTCTTGTGCTAGATTCGGAGAGATCTTCAATTATGCATTACGGATAAATGAAAAGGCATGTGTCCTTTCCTTAACTTCAGAGTTTATAACTGTTTCATCAGATATAAGATGACACTGATGCTTGACGTCTGTTGAAAGATGCAGCTGATTCTACAACTTAACCTAATTTCAGAAATGTGAGCTATGAAAAAAATGTACATTTTGGGATGGGTAGAATGTATAGATGGTCTATACTCCCGCTAGCCAGTTGACAGGAAGTATCGGAGGGTTCCAAAGAAATTTTTAAAAGTTTGCAGTCCTAATTGTCCTTTGGTATTTTTGGAAGTCTTGTCACCAGCCTTGGAGTTGATCCACTATGAGTTCATTTAGGGCACATTTACATGCATTCATGCAAGGCTGTCTGCAGACTGCAGATAAGGTTGTCAGTGGAGGAGGTCAGGAGATGGAGAATTTGAGAGCATGCCTCTGAAGAGCACTTTTATAGAGAGGATGAACTCTTGGCATAGTGCATACTTTCTGAATTACTAAATTACACTAATTAGGGAAGCCATAAATATAGCAGTGACTTTAAATCCCTAAGTTAGTCGTCATGATTTTCTTTTTAAGTTGTCCAAATACCTACACCCTAGTCTCAGAAAGTAAGCCAATAAAGTCAGATTTCATTGAGGGGTGTTTTTAGACAGGCAAAATATTATTTGCTTTTTATTATAATTTCATTTAAATTTCTACCTTCTGAAAGTCTCCCTAAGCTACCCTGAGAGTGGAAAATGAATACCGGTTTCTGGTTATCATAGCTCTAACATTAAATACGGTTTTATAGTCATTACTTATTTTTGGCAAATTATTTGTCACAGAAATGAAATGTCATAGCTGGTTAATTAGAAGACTTTAAGGTTTAGCTTCAAAAAGAAAATAATTATTGAGGCTCTTATAGTTTGTGTAGCTGTGTTCTTAACTAATGCCATATTTACTGATCATTTTCTTTCTAAACAGGACAAGAATATCAGAGAATTGAATTTGGCGTTAATGAAGTAATTGAACCCAATGACACTTTGCCGAGAACTCCCAACTACAGTATTTCAAGCACATTGAATCCTCAGGCCCCTGAATTTATTCTCAGTTGCACAACTTCCAAAAAGACCCCTGATGACCTAGATAAAGAAGTGACCTACAGCTCTGTTGACTGCCAGTACCCAGGCTCTGCTCTTGCCCTGGATGGCAGTTCGAGCGCAGAGGTGGAAGTTTTAGAAAGTGATGGTGTCGCGGGTGGTCTTGGACAAAGGGAGCGTAAAAAGAAGAAAAAACGTCCCCCAGGATATTACAGTTACTTGAAGGATGGTGGTGAGGGTGGTATTCCCACGGAAGCCCTGGTCAATGGCCATGCCAATCCAGCAGTCCCAAACAGCGTAGGCTCAGAGGATGCAGAGTTAGTGGGCGATGTGCCCCTGTCGGGGACACGCAGGACTTTTAACAGCCTTCAGGATTCCATGGACTTCGTCAGTGACGCTGTGCCTGGTGGGCCTTTCCCCGGAGCCCTCGACGGCGATGCGAGGACTGCAGGGCAGCCCGAGGGCTGCCATGGGGCTGACCTGAAACAGTCCTGCCTCCCTGCAGAGACTGGCAGGGACAGCCTGTTGAGGACAGCGGTGGCGCAGCCTTACATGGGAACTCATACTACTGAAAACCTTGGAGTTGCTAATGGGCAAATACTTGAATCCTCCGGTGAGGGCTCAGCTGCCAATGGAGTTGAGTTGCACACTGTGGAAAGCACGGACTCGGACCCAGCTAAAGCCGAGAGCGCTTCCCCTGCTGCCGACGCCCCGGCCTCTGCGGCGGGCACCGCTCCCGCTAGTCAGCCTAAGTCATGGGCCAGTCTTTTTCATGATTCTAAGCCCTCTTCCTCCTTGCCCGTGGCTTCTGTGGAAACTAAGTATTCCCCTCCTGCCACATCTCCCCTGGTCTCTGAAAAGCAGATTGAAGTCAAAGAAGGGCTTGTTCCAGTTTCAGAGGATCCTGTAGCCATAAAGATTGCAGGTATAGTTCAAAAGAGTTGAAAGTGAAGGTAGGAGCAGATCTCTGCTCCTGTTGAGTAAGTTTGAGGCTGTCTGGGCTGATAAAACTGTGTGCTAGATTGTTACCCAGAGCAGTAGTAGGTGACCTGTGTGCTCATAGGAATTTCTCAAGACTGTCTATGCCTTAAATGCTTTCTGTCTAGAAATAAAATGATACTTCAGCACAATGCGGGTGGGTTGGGGGCTCATACCTTTATGTTAAGTGAACACTCCATGTCTATTACCAGTCTTTCTCTGTTGACAGAGTGCATTTCCACGTCCTTGCTTTTTGATCCAGTAATTCTGCTCCAGCGAGGGAGCAGAATGCCCTTTTCCTATCTGTGTCACAGCTGTTGTTCACCTTTGCTTTGTAATCCTTGAGTTGGACTCACTTTGCGCTGTTTCTGTTCTGTATTTCTGAGGATGTAAGAAGGCATTTGGGTTTTTTTTCTTATTATTGCCTGTTTTGGATTGAGTAAATGGATTTTACTCAGTTGTAGAACACCAAGGTTAGCTGTTGATAGGAAAAGAAAAACTGCAGCAATTTAGGCCAAAGTTTATGCTTTGTTTCGAGCGCTCAGGCTCAGGAGGAGGGCGGATTTCAGTAAAAACAGCTGCATAATCTGCAGTTGTTTCTAAGTTAAACTAGGAAGTCAGAAATGCAGGGACTGTGTACCTGTATACATGTCTCAGAAGCCAGAGTATTTCTTCAGATTTCACCATACCAAGAAGTTCAGCAGCAAGCTCTTCAGATTCTTGCCTCATTAGCTGAATTAAGATAAGCTGTCTCATTTAGGCTTTATGTGAAATGTACTGATTTAACATTTGGAGCACCTGACAGCATCTGTTCCCAGGATGAGGATCAGTTCCAGTAGCAAGCTGCACAATACACATCCTTTTATGAATGGTCACAGTTCCATCAACACATCCTTTTGAATAATCTTGGTGTCTCGAGTTCTCTTGAAATGAGAAGATAATTGGTCGGCCAGTCATTTTGGGCTTTATATATATATATTTTAAAGTTAGGTGGTTTCTTTATTATAACTTTTGGAATGTATTCATTGCAAGAGAAAGCTGTCACAGTCAGGGTAAGACAGTGTAAACCTTCATATAGATCGGTATGTTAAAGGTTTTATTTTTAAACTCTATATGAGAAATGCATTAGTGGGATGCTTTTAAAAATGTGCGTTCTAAGTTCAAAGTTATGAAAGTGTTATACTTCTGTTCCTAAAAACCTCCCATTTCTAGGAAATTTTCTCAGTCTTTATTTAAAATAAGAAAAACTTCATTTTAAATGTTTTGAAACATTTTAATCCTATGACTTTAAATGTAGTTTGATACATAGTTTGCTGTGTTGTACGTTTGTTAAAATCTCGCCTGCTCACCTCTGCTGTTAACTTGCAGGTAGGTAACCTGCTGTGGAGGCTCTCAGCTACTTGTATGGGGGCGGGGGAGAGCGTTGCTGGGCACAGTCCAAGTATTTGTGAGTTGAGACAGTGCCTCCCCAGCAGGTTTATTTTCTTAATCCTATGATTAGTCCAGTTAAGAAGATGTTTTACTTATCTGAGCAAAACTGTAGTTCTTTTTAAAATATTTCATTCTTTTGAGCCTTTTTACGGAGCCTTAGAAATCTGGAATGTAGCTGCTGACAGTTTTGAGTGGTGCTTCCTATAACACCACACAGCAGCAGCGCCGACACTAAATGACTCTTGGGATCACACACAGCTTAGGTAAAATGGTGCTGCTTGGAAGTTTTCCCCTTTGTTATATTCTCCTACGTAGAGGTTTACTTTATAAAAATGATGAACTATATTCAGTTTGTTGTAAGTAAGATCCACTACCACAAACTTCCCTTGAATGGGCATGCTTTTAAGTGTAGGCTCACTTGTTTTAAACAGCACTTAACTGTGTGAGATGCTAGTTCCATTAAAAGATCTCTTGATTGATGTTGGTTATCCTAGAATTAGCATAAGCATCTAACTGGTTCTACTAAGAGAGTAATTTTTATGTTTGTTATTATATTTATTAACTATGGGGAAAAGAGGGAGGGAGCATTTCAGACATCAAGTTTATTTTTTTTGAATTCTTAGAATAATATCAATGTCCACAGTTGATTTTTTTTTTAAGCCCACATTCATTTATTTTGGATGTCCACATTTCTGTGTTCTCTGCCCTATCATTAAGTCTGTGCTTCATAAATGCCAACTAATTTTTGTATAACCACCAGTGAAATACAAAATAGGACACACCAACTGTAAACAAAGAATAAGAACACCACATAAGGCATTTTGAACGGAAATACAGCCAGCTCGTGATTACTTGTAACTGTTTATCCATTACTTTAGCGGGTTCTGCTTTTACTTTCTTGGTTTAGACTGTCACCGTTTTGCTCCATTGGCTGTTTCTTCTTAAGTGTAAACTCTGATTTAAGGAGTTGGAAGGGAAGAGCACTTGTCCTGAGGTGCTGAGTGCCTTCCCCAGCCCCGCAGGAAGTGGGAACTGACACAGAAGCCTGCATGGGCTTGCAGAGGGGTCCTTGTTTCAGCGAGTGGTTTTTGGCATTCTGAGAGGGAACATTTTCCACTTTTCAGTAGGAACAACTGAACCAGGAGGTGAGAACAAGAAACTTGAAAATCTTAGTAATTTGTATTTGAAAGTGGTTGCAAAATATTAGATTTGTCCATGTTTGAGAGTAAGTGTGACGAACGCAAGTAGCACAGGGATTGCCGGCGCCCAGAGCCGGGGCAGCACATGTGACCTTGCGATGAACGTTTACCTTTTCCTGGGTTTTTACTAAGAAACATTTATCATATCCCAAACCTAAATTGTATCAAATGCTTTCGAATCACAAATAGAGCTATTTTGTATTTTATGTTTTGCTTTTAAAATCTTGCATCCATGTATTTTGTTTTAAAGGAGTGGAAATAATGGTAGGCAAGGAGAAGGACTAGGTTGAAGGCCCACATAAAACGAGTTACAATTTCAGTGGAAGGAGAATGAAGTAAACTGAGGTCTTTGACAGCTCTAAAAAAATCTTTCCTGTGAGGAAATTGAAACACCTAGTCATACCATTTATTACGAGTTTTAGTCAAAACCTATTTAATATATGATTTTGCACAGTAGTTTTATATCTTAAGATTTGTTCCTAGAGAGCAACAAAATCATTACAAGTTGGATCTGCTCAGAAAAATGAATTCCTGTGTCCATATTTATTTTAAATGTAGACAAATACATACCTTGTGATTGATCATTTTTGGTGGCTTGTATTTATACTTAACGTCTTCTTTGGTAAATGTTTTCTTAAATATTTTTCATTTCCTTTTCAAATTGTCCAAAATAGCAAAAGTAGTGATAATGTAGCATACCCTTAGCTGAAAAGGTATAGCACCTGTTTGTAGGAATCCATGCCTGTGGGTGGAGAGTTCAGTCCCTATCTGATTCAGTGTGTATATATTCTTGCTGGTATTTATGATGTTTCTGTCTTCTAGAACTGAATTGAGATCCCTCCACTTATAAAGCATACGTTGATTTACAACCAATAGACAGCGGTACTTACTGGTTACTTTGCTGTCCTCCACCTGATTAGGTAACCAGGCTAGCTAGCACGTGTTCTTCCCAAGTGATGTAACGAGGAAAACAGAAACACTTGCAGGGTGTTCTGGGTAGTTGAGGAAGGGGACAGAAAAGCAGGTCAGCAGCATCAGAATGTTGACTACAGGCCACTTGGCCTTAATCAAGGAGAGTTCTTACCTTGTATTTTCATAGAACTTAAATGGTAATGTGACCTCTACATCCAATTTTAGGAAAACAAAATTTGATGCGTAATGTACGTGTAAAAATAATCCTGCCTTATATTGACTTAAAAGTTCACAGTGCAAGTGTTGCCACTGAGTTTGTAAATCATTTCATGGGAATGGTTTGCGGCAACACACGTGAGCAACTGTGTATGTCTTGAACTATGAGAAAGGCTGTTTAACCACTCAAGGTCTTCTGTCCGTCGGCAGATTTCATAAGAGAGTTGAATTTTAATCCAGCCATCTAATGTTTCAACTGTTACAGAAGTGAAGACGCCAGTTTCAGTTTTGTACCTTTCACGTGCTATGGAGTCGTTCTGGCCTCCTGTGCCGCTCTGGTTACACTGTTCTGGGCAGCCCCACCAGCCCTGTGAGAGGGTGGGTTCAGGAGGCCGTCCTCCCTGAGGTTGCCGTCTCAGTGGATCTAAGTAGGAAGTTAATGGACAGTAATGAATTGGAAAGGCCTCTGGAGAAGTTTGTTACTACAGTCAATTTCTGATTTTTTGTCCTAGAAGAAGGTGAGATAGAACCAGCAGTGATGACTTCGCAACACAGGTCAGTCTTCGAGCCTCAGGCTCAGGAAGTGCCCTGCCTTCTGTCCTTTGGCAGCGCCCTGCCTGGCCTTGATGCTTTTGACCTCCGTAATTACAGTGCTTGTTGGACTTCAGGATAGGAATACAATAGTAAATGGAACTGGAGCCAAGAGTTACACCAAAACAGTAAAAGCAGTTATCCTCCTGGCTTATCTGGAAGTCCAGAATAATTGATTTGAATTATAGCAGTAGGATTCGGTAATAGTGACAGGTGACTGTGGACAAGAATAAGGATTATTAGTACATGCGCGTGCGCGCACGTGTGTTTCACTAGGCGGGAGAAGAGGGAGGACACTGACATACTTTGTCAAACGTTGGTGTCTGGCTCAGTTTATGGTTACTGAAATTCTTGAGGGGGAAAGGCCCAATATACGCTATGTTACAAAACCAAAACTTGACATTGTTTCGATATTTGTTTCTTAAGAGAAAATCCTAGACAAGATGTTTTTTACAAGCTTTTATATCTTTTGAAATAGAACTATATATATTCACAAAATGTTCAACACTTAATTTTAAGTAATTTAACTTACTAGAGTATTGAAAACGGTTGGTTCACTTAAAGTTTCCCGTAAGATTTCTTTCTCTCTCTCTTCCCATCTACATCGGTTTTTTCCCCTAGATTGATTGATTGATTGATTTTTAAAGATTTTATTTATTTGACAGAGACACAGCGAGAGAGGGAACTCCACAAGCAGGGGGAGTGGGAGAGGGAGAAGTAGGCTTTCTGCTGAGCAGGGATCCCGATGCGGGGCTTGATCCCAGGAACCTGAGATCATGACCTGAGCCGAAGGCAGATGCTTAACGACTGAGCCACCCAGGTGCCCCTGATTTATTTATTGTAGAGAGAGAGAGAGGGAGCCTGTGAGAGTGAGTGGCGGGGAGGGGCAGAGGGAGCAGGGGAGAAATCCTCAAGCTGACTCCACCCTGAGTGCGGAGCCTGACGTGGGGTTCGATATGGGGCTCGATCCCAGGACCCTGAGATCATGACCTGAGCTGAAAATCAAGAGCTGGATGCTTAACCAACTGAGCCACCCACACGCCCCAGTTCTTCATTTTCTAATAAGGATTATCAGCGCCTGTGATGAGCTGGCCGTCCTGCTAGGTGTTCTACACACCTATTACATTATTTCATGTCTTCACTGCAGCCGGGCATGGTGTGGTTTGCTGGCTCTGTTGTAAGGGAGGAGAGAGGTCTTCCGTTCCAGGTTGCAAAATGAAGTGGCAGAGCCAGGCTTTGAACTCTGATTGTCTGGTTTGTCTTCCTGGGCTCTTGTCTCCTTCATGGGGGCACCTGGAGGCTTTGTGAACAATGTGACAGAATGACTTTCAAAGTCCACTGGGTCATTTCTAATAAGCTCGAATGGAGTCATTTACCATAACCAACAACTTTAGTCTCCAGATGTTTAATGCACCCCCCACACTCTTTAATAAGTACTTTGTGTAGGCCACCCACTATCTCGGTCAGTGAGTAATAATCGGCCTTGTCATGAGTGTCGTCTAAAGAATAAGATAGGGCAGGCACAGATGTCTGCTTTTAGTAGCAGAAAGAGCAGTAATCATTTGCAGAGGGGTTTGGGGTCCAGGGGCCAGTAGGAGATCTGCTGGAACCTTGGGATGGCAGGATGAGACTGGGACAAAGAAGGCCTGGAAGTTCTGTTACCTGGCCAGGGAGGACTCAGCAGAGCATGAGCAGTGTGAGGGAGTTGTCTGGAAGGAGCTGCGCACCTCTGGTACAAGGTGGAGTCCATGGTGCCTGCTGCCGTGGAGGAAGGCCGCGTCCAGCTGTAGGTGCCTTCAGGGAAGGCTGCTTCCATTCTGGTCCGTCCGTCTTACTTTGAGAGTGGTGTTTAGGCTAGCTGGAAGACACTCCCGACAGTGGTACTCTGTTGTAGCTTACGTAAGACTTGCCCGTGTAGAGAAGGTTTTTCTAGAATAGCAGCATAATGATTAAGGAAAATCTAGATTGTTCAGTGTTTCTTCTCTGCATGTTCTGAGTCTTTAAAGATATTAATCTATAAACTTATGACTATTACACCAGAGGCTCTGTTTTAAAAGATTTATATTTTATTTTATTTTTTAAAGATTTTTTATTTATTTGACAGAGAGAGACACAGCGAGAGAGGGAACGCAAGCAGGGGGAACGGGAGGGGGAGAAGCAGGCTTCCCGCTGAGCAGGGAGCCCGATGC